AAAAAAAAAAAACTGCTGTAAAAAGAGCGAAGGAAGCATGTCATAAATGACTGTGTTAAAAAGAGGCTGGGGTGTGACACCAAAGGGGAGGTGTGATAAAGGGAGTGTGTGCGTGCTGCCTGTAACATTCACTCTGGCATTACTCCATATTTCTGAGAAACACATACACACGCACACAAACAAACACACTCGGAAACAAGCAGGAAATAATGAGACAGAGAAGGTAGGAACCAATGAGTTCATGTAGAGCTGCAGGTAGAGAAAATGAGATAGTGATGGAGAGTCGGGGACACAGAGAGAGAGAGAAGGGGAGAGGGAGCTTGTTATAATTGGCTGTAATTAGATTCTCATTATTAGGAGATGAATGGAAACGAAGGAAGGAAGAGACAGAGAGGGAGAGGTCAGGATAGGTCAGCTCTTATCCAGCACCTTCATTAGGACAGCAGTGAGCTGAGTGAGGACACACACACACACACACACAACCAAATAGCTACCAGGCAGCCAAACATTTCACAATAATTCACAAAATACAACCATACTCTGAAAGGATCTACTTTCACTTTTACTGGCACTGTGTTTCAATACGCTGTCCAATTTTCATTCATTAACATTGTGTTCCTGTCTTCAAGAAACCGCTTTTTTCTCCCCCATTACATAAAAGATTGATACCGCCGTCGTGTCTGTAGTCTAAATACGAAGCTATAGCAGTCAGTTGGCTTAGCTTAACATAATAACTGGAAGAATAAGGACAGAGCTTTCGTAGCTCTGTCCAGAGGCAACAAATTAAAATCTACCATCACCCGTAAGATTACCCACTCTCCTACGCCCTGCTAAAGTGTCCGTGTGCAAACAAAGATTCCCATTTCTCCATGCAAAAGCTGAAGTATTCCACAGAGGAGAGAGAAACAAGGAAAGTCAACAGGATTTTGTACAAACCTGACACCAGCAGTAAAGGTTGGACTGGGTGTGACACACAAAGAGGAGTCTGTTTGTGTGTTTGTGTGTGTGTGTGCTCAAAAATACGTTAGCTCTCCAGGGCTTGAGGCAGCTGGAGCTGTGTTTGGGTGTGTGCAGGGTGGTTAAACCAGTGCTCACCTCTGGGGTCCTCTGCCTGTTTGGCCAGTTTACGAAGGGCAGCAGCGAATCCAGAGTTTGCAGACTGGGCAACTGCGTTCCCATTGGTTAGTGGACTGAGGGGACTGACTGTAGCCGTGGTGCGACTCGCCGTGGAGATCATTCCTAATGATGGTGACTTATTGGACTCATGGTTCATACCTGGCGAGAGCGGAAAGAAAAGATGTGAGGAACTTTATTATTGATTTGATTAAGCGAAGGCCTCGCTCAGCGTTGCAGTCGGCTAACTTCCTGCCTAAAAAAAGATTTCTGAACACAGCTGGTACCAGAGTCATTCTGAATCAGCGAAACTCAACTGACAAGTGTGTGTTTGTGTGTGTCTGGGGATGATAGTGAGTGCATACGTGGGGGTCAGCTCCACTAGAGACAGTGTGGAGGCAGGAGAGCGGTGACCCTAATAGCAAATCACACACATGAGTGCACACATGTCCGTTTCCTCAAGGGAGCCACCCAACACATCTTAAGACCGCAGGGGCGTCTACACACAAACCACACTGCGCTTTTACACCCTTGTGGAGCATGCAATCATGTACACACATACATGCAGAAAACAGAAACACACACAGAGCGTCCATCGATCTACTGGACAGAGAACACACCG